ATGATGAGACGATAAATTTTTAATACTGCTCCCCTGGCAATTTCTGCTGTACTTGTGCAGCATTTTCTTAGGTAGAACCGTATTATGGAATCAATAACGTTTACACCAGGACATGCACAAATCCATCATGCTTTATATATTCTGGCTGAGCTGGCGAAGTCTCAAGAAATTAATTCAGTCCATGAGCAACTCCTCACAACCTACTAATATAAAAGCCTACATCATAAAAATGCAATAGATAGAGACCAGCTTAGCTTGATTACTTCTTTTTACTGCCTTAAATTCCAATAGCTGATGCTGGAAAGAACTGGACTCATGAAACGGCAAATAAGAAATGTTTCCTCAATATTGCATTAAAGACAGGATGTACGGTAAGACATGGGTGGAATTAGTTCTTGAGCTAGTTAAGCTTTTCCTGTTAAAGATGATTGCTGATACAGTTCTGGATGCAAGGTACCAGAGAACAAAAAAAATCTGTATTTAAGAGAGTTGTGCTGTCACAGGAATCCCATCTACCATCCGTACCTCCCCCTCCAAGCTCTCTAGCTCCCAAAGTACCCACAAAGTAAAGCACAGGTGAGACAAGGGATATGTAAATCACACAGCATTGCTTTGTCCAGCCATACTACATATAAATTGCTACTACCATCTCACTCCCCCTTTCTCTCAAAGGAAGGTACCTCTCAATCAGCTACTGTGCTCAACATTGCTGGGCTGTTTGTTCCTAAGTCCATCATCCTGGTTTCTTGCTCTGCTCTGAATTTCAGTCTGTATTTCTGCACCTGCAGTAAAATCCCTCCATAGCTCATCAAAGAAATGTATCTGCTAATATGTGACACAGAGTGATTAGGAGCTTCGAAACTGAGCATATCTTGGTGCAGGACTAAGATATCTCAGGGCAGCCTGGAACATTGTTAGACTGGTGATTTACTGAGGCAGTAAAGTAACATATACCTTTTCTCCCTAGATCCCATAACCTGCTGCTGATCATAGACATGGCTCAGACAGAGTCTAGAGGCCAGATAATAAAATCTCATTAAAGATATCCTTTTTTTTTGCTCCTGGCAAGTGTGTTTAAAGAGAGAGAGAGAGAGAGTGCAACAGAGTGCATTCTCTGAATGTCTCTTCCACCAGACAGAACAGCATTTGTCTCTTAGCCTGTTGTGGACTACCCTAATGGATATCTGACTTGGGCGCAGTCTAGCACAGACTCCTGTTACAGCTGGAAGCCAGCATCAGGTGCCACACAGCCAAGGGTGAGTGCAAGACCTCCTCATTAGGCAGGTACCGGATACTCACAAGTTTCAACCTAGTCTTTAAAAACTAGAAGTTGTATTAAGTCCTTTCCAATTACATCCCAAATATGTGTTTTCTAGCAGCTGGTATTTGCATTATGTAAGATCGTTCGTCTGTGTCAAACAGACACAGTGCTGGTAATTGCCAAGCTGCTTGTGGATGTTTGCGCACATGAAACTCTTGCAACCCCTATTCTCAAGCAAGGGCCTGCTATTTCAGGTGTGAGCTCATTCATCTTTGCAGTGCCACTACCACTATTCAGTGACCCAGTCACACTGCTGACTATTGCCCTGAACAAAAGTCATGAGATAACACAGTGAAGAGCAGATTGCACTAACAATGAATGAGATCGTGACTTACTATCAAAAAGCAGCTTGAGTCCCCTTCCCAATACGTTCTGATTACGTTATACACTGACACCAACTTCACACACGCACTATCCCCTTTGTTCTCAGCCTTAGAAAAACAGTTAGTAAAAGAGCCCATAAAGGAGTTGCCAATGTGATGGACAGATTTTGCTGTCCTTAATTACCCCATTTTCGTGCTGCCTTTGTTTATGCTCTTTACCTTACCAACAAAGAGCCCACCAAAGTGAAGGCACGATTAAGACAAAAGGTAAGAATTGGCTTAACAAATACCAGGAATGGGAAATGGAAAAGGAAAGGGAAGAAGATGGGCTTAGCACACCTGGTTATGGCTGCACAGCTTCAAGCCATAAAAACAGACATAGAAACAAGAAGCCTCACAGCTTCTGCAGTTAGCATCATCTTATTGTTATCAGGTGACTAGTTACCCCCAGCACCCCAGCATCTCTGGAAGGAGGACTTCAAAAGTGGAATGGAGTTTGAGGGAAGGATGAAACTCTTGTCAGTGAGTTTCTCCTGCAGCCAGATTCCCAAGTACGCTGGCAACACCGTGCCTGTCAACTCAGTTAACTGCATATTCCCCGTAAGAATTTCGTATCACTCCCACTTATTTATTTTTAGTTTATTGCATTAGAAGCAAGGATATTAATCTTGTTTTGTGCAAGAGATCTTACATTTCCTTCTGGAGCATTTGGAAGTATTGTTTTTAGTTTAATAACACATTTTTATTCTCAGCATGTTGCTTCCTCCCTGCCAATATTTCAGCTTCATCACTAATTCATAAACCATCACTGGTGAGAATCAGCCTTAGACTGAGAAAAGAATTCCTACATTGATTTGTCTCTTGGTTTATAGAAGATACTTTTCTCTTTAAGAAAAGGGGGTTTTATTCTGAAAAATTATCATAAATTAGATTTACATTTGTACAGTCAATAGAGAATTTGGTGCATATATTATAGAACTAAACTAGGTAAAAGGGAATTATATCAAAGGCTGGTTAGTCTTCCTTTACAGGCAGGATAGTCTGTAGTTGGATTTTCAAAGCACCATGGAGAGCCCCCAGCAACCACTGACATCTTGAATTATCTTTAAAAAATCTGGCTTTCCACAAAAGGAGATCAGAACAAACTATACCCCAACCTCCCTTCTATGACAGAAAACGTAATGAGCAAAATAAGGGTAGATATAGCTATGATCAAAACGCAAAGGGAGTTATATGGGGTGGAGCTGTCTCTTCTTTTGTGCACGTATTGCCAGGAGATAGCTGGGATACCGCCACTATAAAATTAAGTGTAATTCTCCCTGGACAACAATCTTAGGTAGAATCCAATATCATCCCTTCTGCTCTAATTCTGCAATGGCTGTTTGACAGAACTGGTTTCCTAACGCAGGCTCTCCTGTTAATTTTTTGCTTTCCGATAAGATCCAAGAGCAATCCTTCCCAGAGCGCAGCTCACTGTCACCACTCTCTCTCCTTCACAAGCATTCAACCCGAGAGATCTCAGGGCCCCTTCTGATCTTAATATTGCAAATGATTTCTTAAAGAGAATTATAAACACTTCTGAGGAGAAGGTATTAAAAAAGTAATATGCCCAACACTCCAAAGTATGGAACAATAACCAGAAGAGAAAAATCCTTTCTCCTATACTTAACATTCAAAGAGAAGGTTAATTCCAGCATAACTCCACAAATGAAAGCATATAGCGATACGATAGCAAGTTAAGTGAAAGATCTTTTAAATACCAAACTGCAAAAAAACCATGACTACACTTTAAAATCTGCTTCTCTTGAGAGGGTAAAATACCTCTATTTAGTTTAGTTTGCATTCCCCTGCCAGGGTTATTACTGCCTTTTCTTTTTACTTTTAGACAAGTTCTGCATGGAAGGAGAATAAGGCAAAAATTATATGGGAATTCTTCTATATTCAGAGTTTATGTCTGCTCCAACCAACATTAGTGGAAGGAAAATGAAGTATCCACTAACTATAAGACATCAAGGTGTTGCTAAAAATAAATCAACTGCGTCACATACGTAAGATTCTCCCCAAGAATTTAATCTCTTCAACTGTTTAAGGGGATCTTTATGGAAACACTAGAGCAATGAAAGGAAGACATGAGAAGAAACACAGCTTGTGTAGGATGACTTCAGAGGGACTTTGAGCTCATCAGAGGTTTGTAAAGTTTATACTACAAAATTGAGCAGACTGAGGAGAAATTTTTGACAAGTCTTCCTGCGTTATTGCAGTACATTGCCAATTTTACAGGCAAGAGCATGAAGATGACTATAATCCATCTGTTACAGGAAAAACATTTGAGACTGAGGATTTGCAAAAGCTTTAGACGCTTCCCTACCTACCACAGCAGTAGATTTAATTATCATGTCACAAAACATGGTAAACTGAATGTGCTGCTCACAGTGAGGTGGTGATGAAGAGTGGGAGAAACTGGCACAAGTAAAAGGAAGAAATAATTTGGATGGAAAAATGAGTAATTGCAGAGCTTCCACACAAAACCACCCCAGATGTTCTGGGGAATTTCAGATCTTTTCATCATGGAAAACCATCTATGATTAACCACGGGGAGGAGGCTCATTCCCTACAGCACCAGGAGCAGCTGTGGTTGTCCTGGCTGGATGACACTAAAGAGATGGAGATAGAGCCGTGCAAGGTTTGTTTGTTTGTTTTGGACTGATTTGTTTTCTTTTTGAGTTGTGGCACACATTTTACCCAACCTTCTAATAGAGTACAGGTTTAACAGATTGCAGAATGATGTTGACTGTCTTTACAAAGACCACAGACTGTTCCTAGGAGGAGGTGGAAAGGTGGGAATAAACAAGGATGCTCCTGCTACTGGGAAATAATATTACTCCACAGACATCTGAACAGGTGTGGTTCACAGCTGTAATCATGACCATATACGAGTGACCAGAAAGACTCTACAAATCCAAACAACAATTAAATTGGTAGCACATCAAACCAGACAATGTGATGTCAGTAGTGTGGCTGGCATGCTTCTACCCAGGTAATATTGACAGGATCAGGCTCTTCCATTTTGACTGCGATGGCACATGAAAAGCATATGTACGCTGACTAGAGATAAACATAGTTCCATGCAGGAGAGCACAGTATCCTGAGACTATGCAATAAAAGCAATGCCTCAATATTGCAGAGGGAAGATCAAGGGACCTTGGAATGCACTGAAAGTTGGGATAGTTTACACAATTGCATTGTGATCTGCAACATCTAAGGGAGGACCACATATTCCCAAATCATTGGTTTCAGCGTGAGTGTGTACATATCATTCTGTCCCAGTAACCCAGGTTATTTAATAAGACTGTTACCTTATTCACACCATCTGCCATTGCTTGCAGCGTTAGCTCTCTAGGTCCATCCACTGTCTTTCCATTATCAGTTGGTCCCCAGCTGGCGCTGTATATATCTATGACTTGAGGCATATGACTGATAGAGGAAGCCTCAATAATGTCTGTCATAAATGGCTGGTCGAGCATTCGAATACCTGTAGATTTAATCAACATAAACATGAATTATGCATTACCCAGCACAAGATGAAATCTCAGCACCTGGAGAAGCCCCCCAGTTACAGATATTTTAATTCACTGGCAGTTTCACTAGCTCAGTAATTCCGCACTCGCCTTTCACATTTCACCAGGGTATGCTTACCCAGCAGGATGGCGGCACTTAAACAGCCAGCCACAGCAAAGCAGCATGGCCCAGAAAGTGAAAGCACTTTATTGTTAGCTTTCTAATTACATAGTACTTTCCATTTACTATTTGAAAACACTCTCAAAACAGTAATATTCAGCAATCTCAGCATTTCCTAGCATTTAAATAATATTAATAGTATTAAAATAGTATTTTCTAATGACTAGGGAAAAGGACTAAGGCCCCTCCATCTCTAATTTTTAACTCAGTGATGTGTTGACACTTCATTAGTTTTTCAAGTAATTTTTCTATTTATTTTGGTTCTTTTCCAGAATTTAATCAGAGAGGGGAAACACATGACAACGATTTCCTGGAAAATATCATTGTGTCAACATGCAGATGCGATAGCAAAATATGGCCGGTATTTGAACAAAAAAAGCAAACTAAAACCTGCTTCCTTTTACACATACTGACGTAGAAATCAGGTTAAACAATACCATCCTAGGGCATGCCAACTGCATAAAACCTCACAGCGCTGGCCCTAGGCAAGCCAGAGAGTGTGACAAGACAGCAGTGCAAGCCCTCACATCTGTCACGCCCCACACATAGGACAGTTTCACCAAGAGCCAACCTCTCAGTGGCCTTTGGATGAGACCTGGGGATCCAGGGACACATTCCAACTCTCATTCGTAGCCTTGAGTTGAAGTTCAGCTTTCCCCAACAGTTTTAGGACACAGATGGGACAGAAATCAATACCACAAAGCCAAACAGCGTGAATGGCAGTGAGGACCCTGATTTAGAAGCCAGTGCTTTTACTATATTCAGTACAAAAGCCATGTGCCAAATGTAAGACTGGACAATGTGGTATAAACTTCAAGTAGAAACCAGACCAAAGCTGGATATTCCTGATCTGCTAATTCAGAAATTATGATGTCACACTCAATGAGTGAGAAATCCCTTCATGTGCTTGTAAAATGCAGATCTGCACTCAAACCACAGAATTAATTATTGACCCCAGGGAGGTGGAAGAAAAACAGTAGAAACCAAGCCATCTGGTTTGATTTTAGGGCAAAAGAAAGTGGCACAGGAAGCAAAACACATGATGCCCCAGAACCTTGGCTACAAATTTCCAGCTCCACTTGCAAACGTGGACCTTGAATTATGTCAGCAGCAGACTCTCAGCTCTCATGAGCTTCCGAGTTCCCACTGACCACACGGTGGTGCTACAGGCGCACGCTGTCCTCAGGCAGGAGAGGCTGGCTTTTCCAAAAATCCGTGGGGATTTTGCTACAAAGTGGACAAGTATGGAAGGCTATTTGTAGGCTGCTGGTCATCAGAAATGGCCTTCACCTCTTGATTTTTAAGCAACCAGCTTGAAGTTGTAGAGTTATACTAATAATACAGATGAGGTCCAGCCAAAATCCTGTGCCTCAATTCACATTCCTCTAAAAGAAGCTATTGCCAGAACGTAAATTTTGTGAAATGTCCCATCCCTGAAGGGGACGTTAGCATTATTGAAGAAAGTGGACAAGAAGCAGTCCTGCCTGGCCACTTAGTAACTCTCAGTGATATTTCTTAGGGTAACAACTTAGCAAACATTGCTTGGTGCCCTTGTACTGTGGAGATTCAGCTTCTGATCATGTAGGTGACAGGTGCAATGTAGCCTTCTCCAGATCCTTCTGGTACCACAATGAAGCAGGGACTGGCCAAGCAGAGCAGAGCTGCCCATGCACCACACTGTGAACCATTCCCAGGAAGCCATGGGTGTACCCACACTGGTGTTTTGGTGTGGATTAGGGAATGAAAGTGAAACTCATAAGCATCTACGCTTGCTGTGCCTCGGTCCTCATCATGGAACAGTTTTAAGAGTGGGAAAACTGGATTTCTTCAGATTAAACTGACACATGCTGTCCAAGAGCCTAACTCACTCTGATCACTGTATTCAGTCTATCAGTGCAGACAAGAGCTAGTTGGAAGTAAAAACACCCAGTACACCTGAGGTGTGAATGCTGGGTGGTGGGCACCACCAATTTCATTCTGTGTATCTGCTCCTATCACTGCATCGCTTGTTAAAATAGAGGAAACTAATGACTGCAGAGATTTACAGCACTGCAGGTCCTGCCCTTTGAGAATCTAAAGCATAAGAGCAGCATCGGATTTGCCTTTTCAAATAATTTCTAAATGCACAGGAATTTATATTTTACCTCCTGCAAAATGAGATTTGTCACAAATGATTCTGCAACTACACAGGGAAGAAGCACTGAAAATCAGTATACAAACAGGAGTTGGCATAGGAAGGAGCAGAGCTGTTCCTTTGCAGCGTTATTAAAGAGGCTATATAAGGCTCTCAATTGAAAAGGCAAAGCCATGGAGAAATTCCTCTCCCCAGCTACTGTGAAAAGTAATAAACACATGGCTCAGTGCCAGCCTGCAGTCCTGTCCTGGGCAATGCTCCCTGTCTCTGCAGAAGTTCTGCTTGAGGCACGGCAGCGTAACAACCATTTACACCTTGAATTGCTACCATACCTGCCACCTTAGAGTTGTACGCAACTCCCACGCCGCAGATGTTGTTGTTGGCAGCAGCAGACACCTCTCCCGCACACCTTGTCCCATGGCTGCAAAAGGGAAGACAGAGACACCACGTGAACCCCAGCTAACGCATGTGCCGAATGGAGCTGGATCATCGCGATCTAGTTTTTGCCCCACAGTCAGCTCCCAGCGCTTCAGAGGAAAACTGTTCCATGGCAAACTGTTGAGTGCTGTACTTTGATACTCGGATGAGCTCATTCCTTCCTGAAGCAGGAGATAATCAATCTCCTCTCTGCAGTATGAGCGATGCTTGCTCTGAGGTTAACATGCATACTTACCCTTCATTTAGTTGTAAAGTTTTTCAGACCTTTTCTTTTAAACTCTGTCAAACAGGTTCTGCCTTGTTACCAACTATTAGTCAGTAGAAACAGTCCCTTGACAGAACAGCGTAAAAATATGATCAATACGATTTCCTTCGTGTTTGTGACTTTACAGTGTGATACCCCTTATTTTGAACCCCACAGAACAAAGTCTGATTGCCTTTTTGCTATTCAAACATGTACCTCTGCCTACAAAAAAATGCTATGGAAAAAGGTAGGTGCAGTATCAAGCTGGAGTAGCGGAAGGGAGCCATAAGGGTCACTGCACTCCTCAGCAGCAGAGATGTGGCCTGGCTGGCCAGGCCGAAAGCTGGCCAGACCCAAGGCACGTGCATCCCTCTCCTCCGGTGCCAGTTCCCAGGAGAGCTGACAAGGTGCTCCAGCTGTCAGCTCATGAAGCTACTGCTTTCCACTCAAATGGGAAATGTCTCTGCTCTGACACAGAGGTCCAGGTTCGGGCTGACACGTGGCATTTCAAGAACACTTGGCATCTCTGAAGTGCTTTACAGCTCTTAACAGGGACCCTTTAACTGGCAGTGGCTCCCAGGCAGGCTTGCAGGAAGGCAGATTACATTTTCCTTTCTACTAATTCATCACAGAAATTAAACCACAGAGAAGATAGATACAGACAATATAATCTAGTTTTAAAAAAACAGCACAGCAGCAGAGAAACTAGTGAAACCTGTGCCGTTGTCATGTTTTTAAGTTTAAGATGTTGCATCAATATGAATCCATCCTATTGCTCCTATCGATCCACTCTGTGCATTAAAACTGGCATCACTCCTATAGCATGCTAAAGAGTCATGCAATTAGCAGTGCTGTGTATCTAGAATCCCAGATGAACCATCCCGGGAGGCAGTAGACTTGTTTTGTTTTAATCATCTTTTTGTTTTTCCCCTCTCTCTTCCTTTAAGCACCTCTGGCAAAGGTGAGTGTAATATTAATAAAGGGGTGAGAAGCAAAGCATTCTTCTTCCCTGCTGTACTTGGAAGCATATATTTCTAAAGGCAGCTCCACAAAAGAAAATGACTGGCCTCAAACATACACAGTGTCTCAATCATGAAAGGGTGAAGATCTCATGCAAGTTCCTTTTAGAAAGGGGGCAGAGAGGAGAGCGATACAGATTTCTTATTCAGCTGCAAAAAAAAATCTTTCAAAAATCAAGCAGGTTTTCCCTCATGCCCTTGTTCAAGGAACTGAAAAAAATATACTGTTGCTATGCATTCATTATCTAGTCATCTGTGGACTAGCTACAAGCCACAAAGCAGAAAAAAAATGGCTTTGTTAAAAAATTGTCTTGACTGATGCTGGGGCACAAAAAAATCAGTGACACTGCCAGATAAGCTCTTTCTCTCACAGAGGGAAAAACTGTATTAGGACCTTCCTGGTGAAAAGATTTTATCAGAAGGTCCTCTTGCTCACCTCACCTCCCCAGCGTGCCAGCCCACACGATGCAGACTGTAAGCAGACCTGTTCCAGCAGCTCAGTGTTTAGATACCGTGCTGCTGACTGGAGAAAAATTGCATGTGAGTTAGTGCAAATGCATTTGGTTGAATTATTAATGGCAAATAGCAGACTTTTCCAATTTAGCCCTATTTGCTGTTCATGTATCATTGATAAATCCATTGTGGTTCCTATGAAGTGACCCATGTCATGGACACAAATCACAGCTTTCCTCTCCAACATTCACCTCTTCACTACTATTTCAATGTTTAAAACAAGGGGATAGAAAACAATTAAGAATATTTTCACCTATGAAAAAGTTACTTCAAGGGTAAACTATATATTAGCAGGCAGGGCAAGTTTTCCATAAACATCATATAAATGCAAACATTTCACGTGAACATTCGTGAAAAACTAAGATGGGAGACAGTGATTCAATTGAAAGTCAGTTTTGCCTTCAGCTGGTTTAAACAACGTATCTGTACTAGCTATGAAAATTTCATTCTGCTTTGTCTTTGAGAACCATTTCTATTTCTAAAACCCACTGCCAATGCTATTGCGCTTGCCCTTCTGGTGACATATTTTATAAGAGCAGAGGTGGCACAGATTTTCACTGAGGTTTCATCTGCTTTGAAATGCTTCTGCAGACAGCAGAGGACAGGATCCATCCTTCCTAACTTCAGCTCTGCAGAGGAGGGCAATGCAGAGCCGCAGTCACAACAGCTGGGACTATCTTGCTGCCTTCTCTTGACCACTTTAGTTGCTTGTGCTGGGCAGCAATTAAATATGCAAAGCTCAGAGGGACACTTCTGTGGGGCAAATGCCATCCCTTTTTTACTCACATCACATTGCCAACTTCTGAGTGTTTGCACAAGGGAAAGTGTTCCCTTACTCCGGGGAACTTGCCACTTTGCCTGCATCCAAACACTCCAAGAACCAGCAGTAGTGCTGTGGCTGCTCCTTGACACTTGTGTCATAACACTGCAGGAAGAAAGAGCTGCTAAATCTGTTTATCGAAATTCTCAATTATTATGTTGCTTCCATTGTATTGATTGAAAAATGAGGAGGAGGAGGGAGCAAGTGTTTTTACCCTGTTAATGAGCACTGTCTGGAAGCCAAGGGGAGTTCTTTCCTTGACTCAACAGTATGTTGTTTGGATCCATAGTAAGTAAAGAACATTTTTACCTCTGAAGAATAAGGGTTTCCAAGACAGTGAATAATTTTTGCCCAGCTAACTCTTATCTGGGTGAGAGAATATACAGAATATAAAGGAGTGGAAATAATTATTGGTTATTTATATCATGGCAGAAATTTGTAAACTCAGTGCTCTGAGATGGGGAGCCCCAAGTCATGCCTTCTGCATACTCACAAGAAGAAATGAGAGGGCTGTACTGAAAGGCCAAGCTATCTCTGAGTCCTGTGGATACCTCTGCCCTGCACAACATGGTACATGCCAAGGTACTGAATGTGGTTTAGTAGGAGTGGGTATTAAAAAATCACAGGCAGTGCTGCACAACATGGTACATGCCAAGGTACTGAACGTGGTTTAGTAGGAGTGAGTGTTAAAAAATCACAGGCAGTTCCCAAAATGGTTCCTAAAAACTACTTTGAGTGCTGTAGGGCTGCCTCTGCTTTTGGGAACAGGGCTTGGTTCAGGATTCTTCACTGTTCCTCAGGCTCAAACACAGCCCTGCCCCAAGTTGCACCCAGTGTCCCCCGTGTGTCCCCAAGCTGTGGGTCTGAACACAGTCAAGCAGTCAGAACAGTAAGCACGAGAATAAATCCCTCGGCTACCCAGTCACCTACGTGCCTCTCCCTGCAACGGCAGTCGAACTGCCCGACTGCCATTTCCAGCCCAAGGCACCACACCGTCCTCTTCCAAAACCCACCTTGCTTCATTTCATAGGCCAGTGGCTGTTAGATGGAAAGGCCAAAGTGCTTCCAGCAGCCTTAAAAAGCACAAAGTGGAAGGGGAATCAGTGCTTACAAGCAGAGCAGCTGTGATTAATGAAATACTCCATGCAAAAACCTCCCTCTTTTTCTTAAAATCTAACGACACTTTGCACATGCAGCTGGCAGCTCACAAAAGCCCCTTGGTTCATCTCTTTAAAAAACAGTCCTCTGCTTCTTGTTCCACAAATCACTTGAATTGCTTGCATAGAAATGTATTCTTTATGGAAGAAGGGATATTACGCTATCCTATTTTGAGTCTGATCCTCCTGCATGCATAAAATTCAATGGGAGATACATCACTGACTGCAAACTGAGCAAAATGGAGCCTTTATTGCAGGTTTCTCTGAATGGCTTTTCTGTGTAACTACTCTCCATCCAGACGCACCTGTGTGGCTACAAATACGGATAGACAGACTGTCAAAGGCAGACAGTTGTAACCTGCCAGTAATCATAATTCAGGAGTCAGAAGTTATGACAATAGCTTATGTATGAGCACGTGAGCTTGATTAATAGCATAGCCAAGAAATATGCAGAGAAAAACATAGTCATAACTACTCCTGAACAGCTGGATATGGTGTGCTGGTTTGCATCTTAGCCCGGGGAAAACATGAAATCTTGCATCTTAAAGCCTTCTTGAACTGTGCAGGCAGGAAAGAGACACTTTAGTGAATGTGTTGCTCCTGTGATTTACCTTGCAAGGCAGAAAATTCCCTGTCTCACCAAAGAAACCTCAAGGTTCATGACAAAGAATGCTATGCTTTCTAGGTATCTTTTTTTTTCTGGAAAGAATAATGAAGGAAATCAGCAAGGCAATTTCTGCATTGCTTTTCTCCTCCTGACTTGCTGACTTGAGCTCCCCGTACCCTCAAGAAAAGAAATAGAAGAAAGCGTCGCAGTTCTCTGAAAACCTGCATCATGTTGTCCTCAATAATTACAGATCAGGTCACGGATGACCATGCTGCTCACCCTTGATTCTTCACTTGGGCACTTCAAGTCAGCCAGAGGCACCTGGGGCCAGAGACCATAACTCTTGCCACATCCAGAATGATTGAGGCCTGTTTTAAGAGACTTTAGGAGGTAACTCTGCCTCCAGGGCCACCTTGCAGAACACATGAGGACTGCAAACGGTGCCCCACTATAAAATACTTGAGAGCAGCACAATCAGTGTTAATGGGGCTTGGCAGAACACACTTAGTTTTATGAAGTTCTACACTGAAAATGGCACAAGCTACCATTACCCACTAAAACTAAATTTAATTTTCCTCTGTGCTGCTCCAGAGCTAAGTGGTATCTTTCTCCTACAAAGATCCTTTGCATAAATAAAGTGAGAAAGGCAGCAGACCTTCACAAATTAGAGCCCTAGTCCTTCTCCGACTTTCCATTCACTAATTGGATTCATACTAGTTTAGAAGTGTCAGATGTCCTTTCCTGAAATGAAGGAGAAATCTCATTGGCATCTTGCTTTGGCTGAAAAATGGCAGGACTACAAAGGACATCACAGCTCTGAAATCTGTTTGATCCATTCCAGGAAGCCTGCATCTGAGGTGGAAGCACAGCTGCTCCCCATCTTTGTTGTCCCATTCTGACAGAACTAAAATTGATTTCTTCAGAAATAAAAACAAAATCCCCATACACGCCTCGGAGGCCATCCATACACCCACACTAAGTTAGAGATAAAAATCACATCAAATAGGCCTGAAGCATTTCCTGATAAGCACTACGACTGAGCCCTGAAACCTTTACAATTTTTCAAATTCTCAGTGCTGCTGCTATGTAAATGCTGGCAACATCAATTATATTTACATCTAGAAGACTTCTGGAAATTTCATTGAAAATATCCTGAAACAATTTTTACAAATTTACAGACCCTGGGGAGTATGTCGCAGAGCCAGAGATGCTGGATGCTGAGATCACCAGGTAATAAACACACCTTACGGGTGTGCCTTGGACTCTGCACTCTTGACTACATTACATCTTGCAGTTGGCCTGACTGAAAGGGCTTTTTCATGGGACAGATGCAGAATCCAGGGCACAGAGGGTTTTTTAAAAAATGTCGACACACATTTCTGTTTCATTCTAACCAAAAATGAGTTTGGGGATCAAAAAAGGGTCACATTTCCTAAAATCTGAAGCCTTTCCTTTTGGGTCATTCTTATTTATACCATACCTTGAGGACCAGACCTTCACCTGCTGGAAACTGGCCAAGTTCAGAACATACTGAAGAGTGGGTCTTGGGCAATCATGATGTGTTAGAAATAATCACAACAAGCACAGCTACACTGTTGATTCCAGGTTTACAAACACAATAGAACAGGTTCTCAGTCAGTGTACATGAACTTTAATTCCTCCAGCAGCTAGAAATATCTCAGCATCAGTCTTGAAATGCTACCCATGTACACTTAAGTCAAGGTGAAAAGACAGATGATTCAGAACTTATGTAAGATTTGTTTTTAAACTGGTCATTCTACACAGTGCTCCTTTTCTGCCGCCTTAGTCTACAATTGGATGAAAAGACTTTTTTCCTCCCAAAGCTTTTCCTGTCTCCAGCTTACTCCCTTTAAAATCAGCTGCCACCAACACAGTAAAAGGGAAACCTGTCAAAACTGCATCGAGCATATATGGATTCGGGTTACCATAACATCCTAGGATAGCTGACAGAAAACAGTACACAGCTATCTCCATTCAGACAATTTACATATATATTCTTCTGAAGCAACAACTTCATTAATAAGCCATAAAATAGTTGTTTAGCATTATCTAGAGGCTACCTAAAAAAATGAAGTCAGAAGTAACCTCTAATTTTCAAGCCATCGTGAGACTGCAGCTTGTTTTGGCAACCACAGAATTTAGCAGGAAACAGACATTCCATAAATATCAGCCAATACTTATCATTTCTTAAGGAAACCAAAGTGAAGAGCGGGCTGATCAAAACCCAGTTACCTGTTAAACCAGTCATCTGTATAGCGGGGGTAGGGGTAGGGATCGTTACTGCTGAAGTCGTAGCTGGCTTTGGCATTCTGCAAAACACAAAGAAGTTCAGTAAGTCAGCAGAAAAGCAGATATGCAGGGCGACGTGGAACACAAAGTGAGGGGGAGCTGAGAATCGTTAGTAAACTTTGCCCTCTTTGTTCTGCGAGATGCATCTGGACACAAACAGGTCTCTCTTGTGCTACACATTTCCCAGACCAGCAAGCCTGGAGGAAAGATGCTTTCTGGGGTGCAAAGCCTCCTGTGGACCGTTGGTATCTCCAAATAACGTGGCTAATTGTAAGGTGGTTGTGAGTGCTCAGGCTACTACTGAGGCACTGTTCACCAACACGTACAAGAGTATTTAGGTGTTGCGCTATTTGGTGTGGCAGGACGAAGGTCAAACCCCGTCTTCCAAACAGTGGTGGAAGTGACCAGACACTTGGGTCTTCCATCACAGGATTATTTTTTACACACTCATTTGCAGTACTACAACAGTCAGATTTCTAAAATAATTTCAATGCCTAAGAATGTAAATTTCTCAAAATTCAAATATGAAAACTGCATTGACGGTCAGCACATATGCCTGAAAATCCCTTTGCATATTTTCTCGGTCCTTTAGTTGTCTGAATAGCTTCACAAATGCGGCTTTCAGGCGCTTTTGAAAATGTCATCCCATGTCTCTGCTTTTCACATAAATCTAAATCATTCCCGATTTTGCCCTGTCAGCAGAGTTAAGGACACTCAGCAACTTTCTGATGCTATATCTGAGAAGCAAATGGAAAGTTTCAGAAAGTCAAGTGCCATCTTCTTTCTTCTCTCTTAATGAAAAAATAAATAAAGGGTGACTGAAAATTAAGCTTTTAAAAATATTTAGAAGCTTCCTCTCAAGTGTATGTTCACAGAGTTTGTATTTTAATAAACACCATACTCAAGGAACAGAATTATGTTAATTCTTAATTAATGTGTACTTGTATTCTTTTTAAGATCTGGCTGAGCATGCTATTGAAGATAATTTGAGACTCGTGTATGAATAGCTTTGCTCCTAAAAACATTCCCCTTCAGCAGATTCTCAGTTCCTGGGGTACAGGAATAGACAGTCCATTGGTAGCACCAAAGTCTTTGGGTTTTGGATTCAAAACCCCTAGCTCTCAAAAACTTGTGCCAGAATAAACCAGGGACAACACTGCCCTTGATCCTCAGAGGGTAAAACTAAGTATCTTTCAAGTTACTGTACAGTGATATTTTTGGGTGATCATTTCAGAAAGCCTGGTTGCTTATATTCAGCACAGACAATAAATATTTTGCAGTATTTGAACAGAGCAGAGATTTGCAGAGTGCCTGTCACACGGCTTGATGCTGTTCTGCAGCTCAAGCATAGCTGAATCCCTCTGTGAGTATCCTTATCGATCTCTCCATATCCCTAAACTAAGGCCCTGATTTTCAGCCTGAAGATGCCTTCCAATAATTTCAGCTATAGCCACAAATTCTCAGTGCTTCTAAGTCTCTGTGCCCAGGTGGATGTTTAATTTACCTCTTTTAATTACCACAACTGCTCATACAGCACTTTGAATGGCATTAGATTTGTATGAGCTAAGAGTAAACAGAATATGACTTTTCAGCCAGGGAAAGAAGGGGAATTTGACAGTGGTCTATAAATCATGAATAGCACTGAGAAGGTAGACAGGGAGTTATTATTTACAGCTTCTCATAATACAGGAACTAGTGGGAATCCACAGAAATTTACCAGAGGGGCGATTTAGAAGCAGCAGAAAACAAGTAGTACTTTTCCACAGAACGTGTAATGAGTTACAAAATTCATTGCCCCTCAGCAATACAGAGGTTAAAAGCCTAATGAAATCAAAAAGTGGTTAGACAAATTAACGGAAGATAAATCTGGAAGAGGTATTAGATCCCGTGCTTCCTCCTTCTCCAACAGTCCATAAAACAGTAATGCTAGGAGCTGGGGGGCCATAATCAGCTAGATACCACACAGTCTCTAACCACCAGGCATCCACTACAGGCTGCTGTTGGAGGCAGGATCCTGAGCTAGACGACTTTGGGCCTCACCCAGTGTATCTGGAAAAAGCCATCTGGCACAAACACCCCATCTTAACAGAAGAGAGGAAGTTTGTATTCTGCAGCGTCCAGAGGAGCTGTGACAAGGATTTGTGCAAGGGACCAGGTTTCATCCAATACGTGGCAGTAAAAAGAAATGAGCTTGTTACTGAAGATCCAGCCCTGCTCTTTATTAACGAGTGCAGTATCTACTCCTAGCAGGACAAGCTGGAGAACCACATCCTATGGTAAAGCCAAAATAGAAATGATGACTCTGAGTAATTTAATTAACAGATAAAACCTACTCTGTCACAGAGTTTAGCTTGGCAACCTTTGGAAAGAAATGCATTTCAATCACTAATTAAAGAAACTTTCTTACACTACTACCCTGGACTAGACATGGGCTGGAAACTATGCAGACTGCAAATAACTAAGCTTAGTTCCAGTGATTTCAGGTCGTTTCTTTCAGGTAGGTATGGTCTAACTCAGTAGTAAACACAGTTAGTTCAGTATATTGCCAGCTTCTTATTCAGTCAAAATTTCTGTTTTCACTCTAAAAATATTGTACAGATGAGAATTTAAACTCAGTCGTAGGTCAGCTGTGGTTTTTTTCCCATCTGCAAGAAATGCAGGCCTACTTACACAGACCCTAAGCTCTAAGGGGTCTGGTGAGGCCGATTTTCCAGAACATCATCAGACATGCAAGCACCTCATGACAGTTATCCACCGCTCTTGACTCCAGAATTCCCTTACGCAAAGACCTATGGATGGAAAAGCCCTTCTAGTTGTGCAGATGTACCACCCGTGACCAGAGTAGTGATAGGCAAAGAGGTTGCAACATGAATCATTCAGCCACCCTATGGCAGACTGCAGATCTGCTGTATGTCCCATGTAACCAAATGTCAGCTTATGGAAAGGCTGCTTTAGGCAGGCTATAAACCAAGTTGTGCAGCACTCTTCCACATCCTGTAGCTCTTGTTTGCTTGATTTTGGATCACTGCACTCAAAGGAAAAAGATTATTTAATGTAGCAGGAACCATCCACAAAGTGCAAAATTAAGAATTCTTAGAAAGAAAACAACTGCTGACTGCACAATTTATCGTCATTAGGGTCTTTGAGAAAAGACAGCGAGTTTCAGCTTCATGGAGAAATATTCCGCCCACACTATGGAAGCAGTTGAACGGGTAATGAAACAGCAGCGACAAGTACAAATGGACTGCTTTAAGCTCCTAATTTAAAGAACAAATGCCCAAGTATCTATGCCTCAACCTTTTTAGTTTGTTTTTTTTTTAAAGCATACACCAGTGACAAATCAGTTTCAACACTGGACCAAAAAGGGAACTGCTTTGGTGGATAGCTAAAATATTTCATCTTGTATTTTGGGAAGTGAATATTGAAATCTGTGGTCTACCATTCTCCTCCACAGGCTGGACTCCCCCGCAGGCAGCAAGAGGGAACGTATTGCTAACATGGAGATTTAATCAGGGTAGGAACCTGGGAGGTGGCAACCAAAACCAGCACAGATGAGGATGTGCAACAGCACGCTGAAATGAAAACATTCTGCTTTTCAATTCAGGTGATTCAGTTTCCAGTTTTAATGCCAACCTAGTCAGTTTTCTGACTGGCAGTTACTTCTCTTAGACTTGAAGTATCTAATATTTGCTTTTTAATATCTGGTTTTTTCCTCCAGGGAGCAACTCAAGCCACCAACCTTAGGCACTGATCATGATTGTGGTCTAGCCTTAGACTAGTCATTAGGCATACAGTGTTAGAACAAGATGAATCCTATCCCTCCTGTTCAATCAAAACCAGTTCATTGTGGCAAAGCAATTTGAACTTGAGGTTTATCAGTCACCATCTATACACAATTACTTATAATGTCCATTACATAACAAAAATGCTATTACAGAGAAGAATGGTATTATATTTTAAGGCATATCTCTATTTTTACTTTCTAGCCTCTACCCCAAATAAGATGCTAACAGAAGAGTACTGGGTCAGATGATGAGATTCTTTCGATCATTTATTAAGTAATGGCTTGTATACCATGACACAAATAGATTACTTTTGCCTGTGTATGCTTTCCTTAAAAATAAGCTTAGACTGGCATTTTCCAAAGAATTGCCCTGTACTTTTTAAAATACATGCAGTAAAATCTTCTGTGTATAACATTCATTATGTAAAATATGGCAATAACAATAAATTGGTTGTCCCATGTGTTGCTCTGATCTGTAATAAAATTATGTACCTTGAATAATGCAGCAAGCCCATAAATTTCGGTATGGCTTTACAAGCCTCTGAAGAGTAATTCACATATACTTCTCTTTTTCGCTGTAACTCAAGAAATGTGCCTATGCTCACATGCTAGTCCAGGAGACAAACAATTAAAGACACATGTCCTGCTGGTCACAGTCTGATTCTATCCATGATGTTAAAGCACTGGTGAATTTAGCCCAGAGATTTGTATCTTTTAAAAGAAGGGAAACATTTTTAACACAGGTGGCATCTGGTCTTACCCTCTTCAGGCAACTGCAAATCCTTAGAGATCTGAGGCAGAAAGATACCTTTTGCTTGTTTGATTTCTTTACTGATCTAAAGAGTGAGCAAACCCCTGGGCTCAAATTACAACATGCTACATCTCAGAGAAACTGTACTAAAATAACACAGAACGTCATGTGGTGGAAAAATGAAATTCAGTTTTGTACACACAAGCTTAAGAAAATGGAATATGCTCTCCAGGAGGCAAAAAAGGAGGCAACATGATATTTTGCCTAGGAGGGGTGCTAAAAGGCTCAAAGGTCATTAATGAAAAAGAGAGGCACTGTTGCTAAGTCAGTAGTCCTACAGCAAGCCCTCTCCTCTCTGCCATGGGAAGCACTGTTCTATTTTGTTTTGGTTTGTGGGGTTTTTTAAACCAGAAATGAAAAAAACCCAGAAACTTCTTAAATAGCTCTGTCTCTACGTGAACTAACTTACCTGTCCTGTATTACTA